GATGCTTCACACCCTTAATCATCTTTGTGGCAAGTTCTCAACCATTCAGCTTTTTGCTTTGCTTAGCTTGTACATTGATGTTACCTTTGTTATGATCCAGCTCCTCGAAGGAGCACAGTGATGCAAAGCACAGAAACACCTGGGATGTGAGGAAGTCAAAAACTTCCAGCATATAAAATATATCGATGCTGTTTATAGCAATGCAAAGCTGTTTGTGCTGCTGAATGACTGTTGTCAATACTGAGCAGGTCTGAAACCTGATCAGCATCAAGAGAGGAGTGAAAACGCACCAGGAAGTGAGTAATAGGATTCTTCCAGCAGACAATGGAGAGACTTCTCCACTGATATTTAAACTAATACATTGAAAACCCATTTTTATTTCCCAACTAACAAGTTACACATCTGGACTAGATACTTGCTCAGTGGGGATACTGCGTCTAACTGCATACTGACAATATCTGTTACGTTGAGCACTTTTGGAGCTTCAACAGCAAAAGCTTTGCAACAGCTTCACTCACACCTTGCAAACCATCCCCTCACGTGTGCCGAGTTTCATTTTATGCAATAGATACGTGCCCCTCTGGCTGCTTCTTGCCAAATAATTCTCTGCCATATGATACTTGTCATTGGCGCGTTTCACAATGTGTATCCAGTCCAAAGACAGAGCTTTAGGGAATTATTAAATTAATTAATTATTATTTAGGGGATTATTAAATACAAGGGGAGGTCAGAGCATGGAAGATGCCGAGAATCGAAGGCTTACTGCAAACAGGACTTTTGCAAGGCTAACCGGTGAAATTAAGCTTTCTGCCGTGCAAGAACATGGAAGTGAAGTTCAGTAGAGGTACACAAAAGTCAGAGAGATGGGCTGCAAAAAACTGCATCATTAATGAGATATGCATCTTCTAAGTAACTACGAGTAATTGAAACTTCTTTGTTCAGGTCTAAAAATTGGTAGATTTACACAAATGTTCCTATTGCAATTAATGAGGCTGAGTAAATAAAAGAGCAGAGTTTGGCTTCTACAGTGACTTCTTAACCAAGAACCTTATGACGACTCTAGTGTCACTGATGGTATGGTTAGTGCATGAGTGCACTTGTCCTTGTTCTAGGAAGGAAATCTAGAAGGTAAACTGAAAATATTTTCGTCATCACTTCTGATCAGCATTTGCTTGCAGCACCCAGGCTTACACGTCATGTCAAGCAATGTAAACGTTTGTTTCTGCCAGACAAAGTCCTTTGGTCAGTGTTATAGGAGATATCAAAGTAGATCATCCTTCCCAATGATAGCTGCTCTGAGCCAGATGCAAGATTCCCCCCAACACTCCCCGTACAAGTTGTAAACTGTTTGTGCCTGTGCATGTGCTTCACCCCAAGTTGTTTGTTTCTCACCATGTCCTGTTATGGAACGTCACTGTTTTGATGTAGAAACTTATTTTTTTAAACCTTTTGAATTGCTGCTCTTCAGTTTCCACAGTGCCTTCACAACCTGATAAGCTGTTTTCCAATCCTGAAAAACTCAAAGGAATGAGCAAGTCAGTACCATCGTTCCTACAGGAAGAGGCAAGTTCCATCTCTGGAATATTGTTAACTAAAGCTTCTGATTACTGTGACATTACGCGTTTGTCAAATAGTGCTTTCCAGGGTCTGCGAAGTCAGTTTACTATTGGACTGGAGTTTACGTTGGCATGGAGTTGAGCTTGTGGTGTAGCAATCAGGAGATGATCTCAACCAACCTGTGGCTAATTAACCTTTCAAAAGTTTTAGTCCAATAACTAGAGGTTTATTCTTATTGTACAGAGCATGTTTTATCTGGGAAATTGAAGCATAGTGAATGCTTGCTGTTATTCCCAAAGGCAAACTCTATCCTTAAACTAACACGTCTGTTTTATAGAATCATAGAATCATGGAATGGTTTGGGTTGGAAGGGACCTCAGAGATCATCTAGTTCCAACCCCCCTGCCGTGGGCAAGGACACCCTTCACTACACCAGGTTGCCCAAAGCCTCATCCAACCTGGTCTTGAACACTGACAGGGATGGGGTATCTACAACTCTCTGGGCAACCTGTTCCAGTGCCTCACCACCCTCTGAGTGAAAAATTTCTTCCTTAGACCTAATGGAAATCTGCCCTCTTTCAGTTTGAATCCATTGCCCCTTGTCCTATCACCACACGCCCTTGTAAAAAGTCCCTCTCCAGCTTTCCTGTAGGCCCCCTTTAAGTACTGGAAGGCTGTTCTTATCTTAAGAACAATTAAATTATTTTTTATCTTCAGCCAATTAAAAAACTTACTCATGTGGGCTTTGAATGAAACAATCTGACAAATACTTGAAAGCCAGAGGACTATATGTAATCAATCTGGTCACAGTAGAAAGGGTTTGGAGATGGTTCATATTTATATTCTAAGAAATTGTCAGCACCCAAATCTGTTTATTCTGCTGCCCAAATTTATCTTTAAAATTGTGATTAGTCTCAATACTGTCTTGAGTTATCAAACTCACAGATAGCATGTATGTGCTGGTTCTGCCTTGAAGTTTGTCATCACTGAAGTACCACCTGGCCAATAGAAAGCACGAAACTAATTAATGGATAACATAAGCCTGGTAGAAATAACAGGTTAGAAATAAGCATTGTAGACACGATGTAGTCATTGTGGTATTAACACTCATTTCTACTCATTTCTAACACTACATTTCTTCGTACTGAAGAAATTCTTCAGTACGAGGGTGGTAAGACTTTGGAATAAATTGCCCAGAGAAGTTGTGGATGCCCCCTCCCTGGAGATGTTCAAGGCCAGGTTGGACGGAGCCTTGAGTAGCCTGGTCTAGTTGAGAGGCGTCCCTGCCCATGACAGGCAGGTTGGATTAGATGATCTCTAAGGTCCCTTCCAGCTTATGCCATTCTATGATTCTATGTGCTAGTTCAGTTCTGGAATTGTTTTAAAAACAATGAATTCTGATAACATACTTTCCAATTAAAGAAGAAATACAAATAAATCGATCTCGTAGAGTACCAGTGTCTTTTCCTTCTGCTTAGAAGATACAACAGCCTAAAAACCTAAGGATTCTGTACTTGTGAAGACTAACATCCTTATTTAACATTTGGAATAAAGTTTAAAAAAACCCAAACAAACACACAACACACGTGTAGTGCATTCTGGAGGCATGCAGTCAGCCCAGTGCTTAGTAATTCCTTGTCTCTGAACTTCCAGATATTCCACAAACCTCCACAAGAAGGGCTTTGACTGTTCTTATCCAAAGAAAAGGCTCTGCTGAGTAAATTAAGGACAGGGGTGAAAGGAAGCAGAACTGGGTTCAGTCTTCTATCTCTTCTGCTGGCCTGCTGTATGGCCAGCAGCTAAAATGGTCTTAGGCAAACCATATATCCTTCCTCAGCAAGCTTAGGATTTCCCTGTTTTTCAAAGAGTCCGTGTAACAGGACTGATTATTCACACTGCTTAATTGTTTTGGAGAGTCCCAAGTAGTGCTCTCTGAAACAATTTTTCTCTCAAGGAGCCTTGCCCTGGGTAGGATGGACAATAGTCAGTCCTTGCCTTTGGCCTCTGAACTGGGGAACAGCCCTGGCCTGCTTCTACTTAGCTGTGTGGACATAGCCAGAGAAGCTGCGATCAGCGGAACTTTAGAAAATTCAAAATGTGCTAGATATTTACTTCTATAAATGTTCATTTTCTCAATGCGTGTGGAAATTGTTATTTGCTAGTCTTGCATCTGTCAGTAGATCTATGACAGCGGTTCAAAACTGGATATAGGAGGGGGGAAGCCTTGTAAACTGTTCACGGTGGAATACAGCAGGGGGATGATGCTTTCTGTAACAGCTGGCCTAGGAAGGTGCCCAAGCACGCACGGGATTGATTCTTTGGCACGGTGGTAGCACGGAGACAGAATGGGGCTGGAAGCACTGAACCTGATAATGACCAAGCAAACCAAAACAGCAGTGCCCTGATGCAGGGGCCTGCTCGCCCTCTTGCAGGAAAGGCTTTTTGCAAAAGCTGTTCACAATATCCTGCGCTGTTCTACCATGCGTGTCACCTTCCAGCAAACTGCCTTAAAGATGGAGGCTGCGGAGTTGGTGGCTTTCGCTATACAAAGGGAAAGGGATGGGGAAGAGACCTGAGCATTGTCGCTTGCATGAGTTTGTGCAGGAGAGAGGGAAGGAGAGAAGTTGAGTTCAGTTGTCCGAATAAAGTTAACTTTGTACTTTTTCGTTGCT